CTGACCGCCATCATACCATCATTTGGCATGCGCCTTGCACCTTCAAAGTGCAAAGTCCTGCTTCAGAACGTGCCATCTGCGAACATATCCCTTACAATTCAAGGAGAACCACTAGAGATTGTGGAAAACTTCACATACCTCGGTAGTTGTATTAACTCTGACGGAAGTGTGTCTGATGAAGTCAGAACACTTTGTTTATATCCCAAGTATTTTGGAGTCAAGTCGTCGGGGCTCGCCACCTTCTTTGAACAGTGCAGGATGCAGAGTCCGGACTAGGTGCTATTGTGCTGAAGCAATGAAATTGTGCGTCAAACTTCTCTCATCAGATATCGACGTTCCGTTTCGGGTTTATTTCGTCCTTGCATAGGTTGAGTTGGTGGGGACTAGCTGAATTGTTCTTTCATCGTTCAAGATGACCCTTCTGAAAATGAACTGAGGTCCCGCTTTCCTCGAACCAGCTGGTCGGATTAGCCGGAACAGAGCGTGATTCTTTCCCATCGCAAAAGCTTTTTCAATTGTCATGACTATCTTTTGTGTTCACATTATCGGTCCGTATTGAGGCTTCTTCGCCTTTACTTTAAGCTGACAAGTAAAGCGTTATTTATTTTAGGAAGTCCGTCTTGTTCTCGCACTCAATCGGGATCTATACTCTATCCATAATAGGTTACTTGTCTAAGAATACCATGGATCCGCTGCTTCGACTCAGGTGCTTTGACACAGACCCTGATTCCCAGGACGCAATTGCGCGCTGTAATCATTGATTCCCAACCTTTAAACGATTCTGGACACTGTCGACTCGCCTAATGCAAAAAACTAAAAACCATGGTTCATTTTGTGGACTTACCTGTGCGTGGTTACAACGCTGACTGTCCATATTATGTCTCGCACTCGGGATCTATACTCTATCCATAATAGGTTACTTGTCTAAGAATACCATGGATCCGCTGCTTCGACTCAGGTGCTTTGACACAGACCCTGATTCCCAGGACGCAATTGCGCGCTGTAATCATTGATTCCCAACCTTTAAACGATTCTGGACACTGTCGACTCGCCTAATGCAAAAAACTAAAAACCATGGTTCATTTTGTGGACTTACCTGTGCGTGGTTACAACGCTGACTGTCCATATTATGAAACCGCTATTAGTACATTTGAAAAGTTATGCGTTCGTCCAAAGAATAGAATTTATGCTCGCCATCTTCTAAAAAATGCTAAGACAGCAGCCAAGATGTTGATCAGTT